TTGGCACTGACACACAAAAAAAAATGTTTTTAATTGTTTTTAAATGATTTTCAATTGAAACACAAACAAAACACGCAATCGAAATTAATGTTTTTATTTTCTTGCAGATTCTTTCACAATTTTCTTCAATGTCGCGAGCGCAGATAACGCGAACAAAAACAACAGGAAAAAAAAACAACTAACAATTTTTTAGTTGTAAAGCAAACAGAACACGCGAAAGATGAAGAACGGAAATTATTCAAAGTACGCCGCGTTCTTATTGCCTGTTGCCTGCCTGTCTGCCTGCTCTTTGGCCACGTCCAATTGGCTGCGTTTTGCAAACAGAACTAAAACGCGGCTTCGTTTGCCATCGGTTTTTAAAAAGGAAAATCGCGCCCAAGCCCAAGCGCTGATGTTGACGTTGACTTTGACGCTAGCGTCAACGTTGACGCAGTCGCTGTCGCTAACAATACAAAAAACCACATCAACAGCAACGGCAACAGCAACAACAACAACGATAACAGCTAACTAAAAATTTGCAAGCCAACGCCGCCGCCGCAGCAGCAACTGCGGCAGCCAGCACAACGAAACAAAGCGAAGAGCGAGCGGCGAAGAGAGCGTTTGTGCTTTTGTGTGCGCCGCTCTCTTAGTTCTCTTGTTGCTATTATTGTTGTTCTTCTCGCACTTTCTTGTGCTAGCCTGGCTATGCAGCGAAAAGCGCAACAAATAATTGCAAGAAAGGATTCGCCGTGAATTCTGCTCCTGAAAAAATAATAAGTTAATACAATAATTGCGAACAGAACACAAAATAAGTCCGTGCTGGTGACAAATACGTGCAGGTGGCCGAAACCGAAGCTCGTGTTAGGATCAATAACAATATTTCTCTTAATAGCCGAGAGATCGCAAAGATAAGCAAAAACAACACCCAACAACAAAATTGTGCAAATCGCAAGCATTAATTCTCAGGCGAAATGAATACGAAAACATTTTGAATTTCGGCTCAATTTGTTTGTTTTTTTTTTTTTTCGGATTGCATTTTGTTAGCTTTTTGTCAACTGCTCATAACGCAAACAAATTGCAAATTTATTAAAAAACAAAACCAAACAAATCAAAAATACAACAACAATTCAAAAAGGGAAAAAATGCAAAAACCAGTTCAATTTCGTAGACTGTGTAAAAACCACGCGCCATTGTCGTCACCTGCTCGTCGTAATTCCCCCATCTTAGCTTCAGATCAACAACAACAACAACTTCGGCTGAATCATCATCATCAGCAGCAGCATCGTCGTCATGATGCTCATTATTATGATGTTACTGTGATTTTTGATGTTTACGTATATGCAGTTGTTGATCGTGCTAACACGCCCATCCCCACCCCCTTCCTGCACAGTTAATCCATTGCTCGACTTTCGCAGAAGTCGTTAAAAATAACAAGCGGCATGCGGAGAAGTAGAAAACGTAAAAGGAAGCAGCCAAAGGCAATGCGAAGAATTGCAAATACCCTTGCAGGATAGTTTATGGTTCTAAGCAGTGAGCATCACTATTTCTGCACGTGTGTGGGTGTGAATAGTTGTGTATATGTGCACATGTGAATGTTGTGTATATTTCCTTAAAAATTTTGGTGTATGCTCTAAGGACTGCACGTGAAAGAGAGAGAGAAAGAGAGGGAGCTTAGCTCACTTGCAAAACGCTTAAATCGTCGCAATCCACATCGCCGAAATAGCTCAGTTGGGAGAGCGTTAGACTGAAGATCTAAAGGTCCCCGGTTCAATCCCGGGTTTCGGCAGGCAGCAATATTTTTTCCCAATTCTATTTTAAAATTTATATATACATATATACAAATATAAA